TGGACATGGGAGATGTTCTTATGTAAAACTGGAAGTAAAACTTCCCTGGGACTTTCAATAAAACTGGAAAGCAGGAGAGGCAAGAATGTTTCTCTGAGAGGACCCACTCTGTCCTATCCTTTAGTAGTGTTCCCTTTCCTCCCATTCCTTCTATTCTAGTAAACTCATGCCTATTACTCTGATTAACATGTCTGAAGTCTTTCTGGCTTGGTTGCAGGAACTGGGATGTAGAGGTGACCTTGCACTTCCTCAGTTTCCCAGAAGTCCCTATAACACTCATCTCCGAGAATTTTATTTTTCTTTCACTCATTATACAATTAGCCCATTGTATCTGTGGGATTCTGCATTGCAGTTTCAAACAACTGCTATTTCAAAAATCATGGATTCAAAATATTTAGATAAAAAAATACAGAAAATTCCTAAAAGCAAAACTTGAATTTCTCACATGCCAAGCCCCATGCTGAATTCATGTGAATGAAGAGATTTGTAGGCATACCCTGCTGATGCCTCTCACCATTCCATGGATCCTTATCTCTCTTTCTAGCATGTTTAGTTGACCATCAACTGTCTTCCTTGTGTCCTGCACAGTCAGAACTATGGTAGTGTCTCTATTAAACCTGTACAAACTTTTATTCTTATCATATTATTCAAACAATACAGGATAATGACTAGGTACCTAGCACCTACATTGTATTAGATATTATAAACAATTTAGAAATGATTTAAAGAATATGGAAAAATGTGTGAAAATTAGATGCAAATACCATGCCAATTTATATAAGGGACTCAAGCACCCCTAAGACTTATAAAGGTTGGTATCTAGGAAGGGAACATGGAACCAATCTACAGTGGTTGCCAGGAGATCGCAGTATAATAAATCAGGAGAGACAGGAGAAGAACAAGCACTGCGTTTGGTACACATTTGGGGCTTAATACATGCTTGTTGACTGTGATGTCAGAGTTTTCTTGTTTTGTAGTTCTTTGAGTTCTCATTATAGAGTTTACTAGGCAATACAATGTATGAAATTTTCTAAAGAGGCAGCCAGGTGATATAGTTGAAGCAGACTCTAGACTGAATTTTAAACCAAGTCATTTCCCTCCCATCAAGTTCCTTCAGAATATATGATATTCTTACCTCTGATCTTACTCCAGGGCTGTATTTATAGTCTGTTATACAAATTCTTGTGACTCACTCATAAAGTCTGTCATGAACTGAAACTTTTAAAAATGAGAAAAAATACCCCTGTGTTTGTTAAAGTCATGGAAGTTAAAGAACACCAAAATATTTTCCTGGTTTTCTGTCATTTATAAATTGTTAAGGAAGAGGTCTTCCCTACAACTTTCCAAATGGCAAAGTTTATTAAGATTTCATTAATAAGAGACATTAACAACAATGGTAATGATGATGATCCTATCTTTAGTACCTACTAAGTGCCAGAGATTGATTCATGCTTTATTTTTAATTTTTATAACCACTCCTTGAATATAGATCCTTCATTTTTTTGCCAGCAAAGAAATTGAGGCTAAGTGAATTTACTAATTATCTCAGAAACAGCAATACATAAATAATAGAGATACAATTTGCTCCAAGTTTGTGATCTGTATGACACATATTTGCATAAGAGATTAAACAAACAACATTGTTTTTAAATGCCAACTTCTAAATATCCTGTCACTGTTCCCAGTACTTCTTCTAGGCTAGAAGTTCAAGGCAGTTACTGGATACGTACCAAATAACCAGGGAGTGTGTTTTCGATTTGGGATTCATAGAATATCAGTTATTAGATTGATTCTTGTTTACTGCAGCCTCTGGGAAATTGGTTGTTGCATGAATGTGTGAGGTTCCACAATGAGACAATAAAATTACTAGCACACAGAAATGCCTGTAAAATTTATTTACAAATAGAATGCAGGAAGTGATAATTAAACCTCTGGATATTTCTTAGCCTTTTAAGAGTCAGACTATATGTGATATCTGGAACAAATCACATGTCTGTTCAGTAATTTTATACTTCAACTCAAAATCTCATTGGGCTAATCAACTGTTATTGTTCCCTTGGAAAATGGCCTTTAGTTTTCTTTCCGTAATGCAGGAGATTCAAATAATTTTCTGCAATAAATACCTTCTCATGCTCAGGATTTTATTGAGGACTTTATTATGGCATATCTGCGTCTGGATTCTTAAATCCTTTCTGAATTTCTCCAGTCATCTTTGTGAGTGCGGATGGAGGGTGTATGGTCTAGTGTGTGGATACAAGTCACTCTCTTAGTTGTATTTGTAGCTGAGTCATTATTAAGTCAAGAGTTACAACTTCATCTTTCATGTTTTTGTCCAAAGAATTTATCCATGAACAATTGTCAATAAAATAAATATTTTAAGATATTTTTCTAAGTACTTCAATGATACTTGTTATGGGTGTGGAGGATTTAATAAAGATACCCCCCTATTTCTTATATTTTTTATTTGTGCATTGTAGTTGTACATAATGGTGGGATTTGTTGTTACATATTCATACATGCACACAATAGAATAATATAAATTGGCCAGTATCACTCCCTAGTACTTCCCCCATCACTCACTGTCTCCCACCCCTGGAAAGATGCCTTTTTTCAATGGCCTTTAGATCTAATATAAAGCATATGCCTACCACTTCTAATAAAAACAAATAACTAAAAGAGGAAGAAATAATTCATACGTACTCCTATCTATACCTCTCTACCAACCTATCTAATCAGCTATCTAGCTATCCCCACAAGTAGATATTCAGACAGATAGGCAGATACATATTCATATACAAGCATATTTGAAATCTGCAACAAAATCTAAAATGTTAACTATACAAAGGTACAATAGAATACTACAGGAACTCAGCCATATCAATGTTTATAGCAGCATAATTCACAATAGGTAAATTGTGGAACCAACCCAGATGCCCTTCAGTAGATGAATGGATAGGGGAACTTTGGTATATATACACAATGGAACATTACTCAGCATTAAAAGAGAATAAAATCATAGCATTTGCAGCTAAATGGATGGATTTGGAAAATATAATGCTAAATGAAGTAAGTCAATCCCCAAAAAACAAAGGCAGAATGTTTTCTTTCAAATGAGTATGCTGACTCATAATGGTGATGGAGGAGCATGGGAAGAATGAAGGAATTTTAGATAAGGCACAGGGGAGGGAGGAGAAGGGAGGTGCTAGGGGATAGGAATGAAGGAGGAATGAGTTAGACATCGTTACTCAAAGTACATGTATGAAGACATGAATGGTGTGAAAATACTTTGTGTACAATCAGTGACTTGAAAAATTGTGCTCTATATTTTTTTTTAGTTAAAATGAGTAATTTTTCACTCATATTTTTATTTATTTATTTATTTTTATTTTTTATTTATTTTTTTAAATTTTTTTTATTGGTTGTTCAAAACATTATAAAGCTCTTGACATATCATATTTCATACATTAGATTCAAGTTGGTTATGAACTCCCAATTTTACCCCAAATACAGATTGCAGAATCACATCTGTTACACATCCACATTTTTACATAATGCCCTATTAGTAACTGTTGTATTCTGCTACCTTTCCTATCCTCTACCATCCCCCCTCCCTCCCCTCCCATCTTCTCTCTCTACCCCATCCACTGTAATTCATATCTCTCCTTGTTTATTTTCCCATTCCCCTTTTAATATGAAATGAATTGCCATCATGTATAACAAATTAGAATGAATAATTTAATTTAAAAAAGAAAAAACAAAATAAAACTAAACTAAACTAGACCAAAAAAAAAAAGAATTTTAGGGGAATATACTTGTCTAATCTATTAGAACAACATGCACTTATTTTTGAATATATCATAAATGTTTATGAAGACTATGCATAAAATTACAAAGTGCTCAATACCAACTAGCAAGGGGTCATTTTTCAGATTTGAAGTTGATGAGTATTGGTGAATACAGAGATTTTATGTGCACTATCTATGATATCACCTCAACTATGAAGGGCTTCTTTAGCCTTTCTGCCTGAAATGGGATTATCTACATCTTTCTTGGGGCTTCCCTCCTATTCTGTTTAAGTTGCTCTCACTGCTTACTTATGCACTAATCTTTCTAAGAAAGTTTTGTACTTGGTAAAGCTTTACTGGATACAGTTTTGCATTTTGAGAATATAAATCTTGGTATATAAAAAAGATACCAATAAAGGATGTTGAGAATGAATTCTATATTACCTTGTTTCTTAGTGCTTTTGATAAGCAGATTGCTCTAGACACTGAACATTTTCTCATTGTCTTACCCAAAAGTTTTCTTTTTTTAATAGAGGCGATAATTACAAGTTTATTTGAAGTTCTTAATTTATCAAGTTAGTGTTATAGATAAATTAAAATATCTATTTTACTTTTTATAAAACATTTATTAAAGGACCAATGATGATCTGATTTTTACATACTGAGACTGAAAGAAACTCTGAACACATACTTAAAATGAAAACAAAGAAAAATCACTATGAGAGAGAGAGAGAGAGAGAGAGAGATGGAAGGGAGACCCGAGAAATGTGGTGGAGTGAAAAGTTTAACAAAGAATATATTTACCTTAATCTGCTATGGATAACCTGCTGCCTGGCACCATCTTGCTTTGGGCTTGAGTTCATTGTTAAATATGATATTTTGTGGCAACTACTAATTATCATAAGCTGTCCAATAAATGTGATTGATTGTCCAATTAGCCCTTCATCAGTATCCGTTTTTGAAGATGCTACCTATTGAAACCGATGGCAGTTTGTGACCTCCATGTTGTATATGTAGCTAATTGCTCCTTAGACAATAATTATTAAGTTCCTTGTGCCTCATTCAGTCATTTTGTTTAACAAATGATGATGCCACAGAGTTTCCCAATTCATTAGACTTCACAACTATGGCTCTCTGAGGATTACTAAAGGTCTGCCATGGAATGTATGGATCACATAAATGTTGAAGTAGATTACAGATATATCTGTTTTGTAGGTTTTCCATCGACCGTCACACTGACCTGGAGAGACAGTTCAACATTAATGCAGATGATGGGAAGATCACTCTGGCAACACCACTTGACAGAGAATTAAGTGTGTGGCATAACATAACAATCATTGCAACTGAAATTAGTAAGTGCCTGGGTTTATTCTTTTTTTTTTCCTTATTTGACTGGATTCAATTTATGCCTATTGATCATGTGATGAATGGTCCCTGTTTCTGTTAGATATTTTGTCATTGGCACTTATTTTATTGCTTCCAAGGAGCATTTCAATGTATCACCTCAACACAAAATTTCCTTACACAATCCCAAATTACCAATGTTTTCAAGATATGTGGGAAGCAAATATTCTTATTTCCAAATATTTTGATATCTTGTATCTGTTATTCAGCCATTAAAATAATGTTTTATATTTTAAAGCATGGAAAAAGATTTAGTTGAAAGGGTAAGTGAAAAAAATTAAGAACTGTACACTATTAAGAAGTAAACATATTGTAATGTATATACAATATAGAAATAATTATTCACATATTCAGACTGTAGATATACATATTCACATGCAGAAAATAGGGAAGAAAACGTTGCTCTTTCAATATATATCATTTGGGGATGGGTGAGGTGGCACATGCCTGTAATCCTAGAGGCTTGGGAGACTGAGGCAGGGGGATTGCAAGTTCAAAGCCACCCTCAGCAATGGTATAGCGTTAAGCAACTCAGTGAGACTCTGTCTCTAAATAAAATACAAAACAGGGCTGGGGATGTGACTCAGTGGTGAAGTACCCCTGAGTTCAATCCCTGGTACCAAAAATAATATATATATATATATATATATATATATATATATATATATATATATATATAATTTTGAAGATATGAGATCACAAATAATTTTATTGTACTTATTAGATTTGAAGATATTTTATATAGTGGTCAGACTATTTAAACATATCTTTGGTATAAATTCAATGTAATATTTCATATTTTTAAAAATTTAAGCTGTTCTGTAGGGGAGGAGATTTGTTTTTTATTAAATAACACTTTCTATTAATTTTTAATGAGCATAAATGTTTTGCACTTAATGGATCCACCATTGAGTCTCTAAGCTATTGCAAAATGGTGAGATTTAGTAAGACATGATCTTTTACAGCTTTTACTTATTTTAACTTCTTAATACTGTATGATAACTTGCAAAAGTGGCATGACATTCATTTTATTTTCGAGCAAAATAAATTTTGCACATTATCTAAATATCTTCTTTCCAGGAAGAACCTGATTAGGTCTTCAAAGTTATACACAAAGGGAGAGAATACATTCCTGAAGGAGTTTGGTAAAGGGAATCTTCAGAAGCAAATAAAAAATCAACTTTAGGGGTCTGGGCATGTAGCTCAGTAGTAGAATGCTTAACTAGCATGCAACAAGCCCTTAGTTGCATCTCCAGCGGAGGGGGGTTAAAAATCATCATAAAGAAAGACTTATCACCCTCCACCTCACCAAGTGCGAACGTGCACATGCACACACACACACACTCACACACACAAACACACACACACTGCATAGAGAGGACTCAGAGAATAATTAAAGGTGTATACCTCAAAATTCACTCTGTGTTTTCTTGTAGCTAATGTGAAAACTGGTACATATCTCTGAGATCCATGACTTATTTGTAGGAAAAGTTATCCAGGTATTCAGAAGAGGCACAATGTTCTCTTATTCTTAGATGTGTCCTCCATGGAGCCTTATAAGCAGAACCTTTGGGTGAAAGAGAGCATATATGAGCAATGTCTATTTGTTGTAGCAACTTGAGTGCTGGCAGAGAGCATACAATTTGATACATAGTTTCTCAATCCTTCCATGCTCTGGTTCTGGATAAAGATAGAGCCTTGAGAACTTTGCTGTATTTCTTAGTTTAGAAATTATATTTTCTTCCCTGTTGTGTCATTCTGGTAGTGATTTCCCCCTTGTAGAATTAAGAGAACAGGGAAAGCAAACCATTTGGTGGTTTTGGTTTATTATAGGTGTTAAGCCCATTTAGAAGGGTATACACATGAAATTTTAATAATTTATGATGTTGAAGCCCCATTATCACTTTAAGCCTCTAAGAGAAACTGCATCTATTTAGATTGGAATGAGACTTTATAATAAGCTAGAAAGAGCTGCAGTTTTCTTTAAAGTATGTAAGCATTAATTACTTTGCAAAAAATTTTCGCCCATGTTGAATATAACCTAGTCAAGCTACACTTAATCCATGATATTTATTTATTTATTTATTTTTACAAGATAATGCCTTTACTTAAATATTCATCAAGGTTGTCCCAATTATAAGCAATCATGTATTCCCCTCTAAGGAATAAAAATAAATGAATACACAGGCCAGGTGCTTAAGGAATACTTCAGGGCAATCCAAAAACAAAAGGTTCATTTCCAAGGCATCACAGGAAAGTAAGAAAGACCAGTACAAAAGCCAGGTTCTCAGGCAGTGAGTTGTTAACTTAAGGGTGACAAGGGTCCCAAACACTGCAGGGGAAGAAAGTTGTTTACTGTTTCATTCACAAATTATTTACTGTGTCTTTATTTACCAGCCACTCATCTAGTGACTGGGGATGGAGCAGGGAGCAAGATGGTCAAAACTCTTGCTCCTCTTGGAGGTTTCCTAGCAGTGGTCCCTGGAAACATCTCCATATAAGAGAGGGTACTAAACTTTGCTGAGTACCCATAGAGACACAGAGGTAAGGAGAAAGTCCCAGTGCTGGGAACTAAAGAAGTTCCCTTGTGATGGGTAGAAAGAAATGCAAAAGGGGTCATTCTCTGATGAAACATATATTAAAAAAACAGCAAAAAAATTGCTTTTTAATAAATATGAAACACAAGTTTCTGTATGCATCTGTAAAGCAACTAGTTAAATTTTAAAGTACTATTATTATTATAATATGAATTATTCATACAAGATAACAAAATTCCAAGAAATATCAAAAGTAGACAAGATAGTTTCCTATTTTCAGAGAAATGACTCATGTCAGTCTTAGATACAATTTTATAGTTGGTTTCATGCTGAGAATGAATATAGTGTGCCTTTGCCCATATGATGAATCTCAGCTTGATCACGAGACTTATAGACTTCAAAATATAAAACAACAACATGTTACCCTGTTAAATGAATGGGAGTCACCTTACATTTTTTTAACTCAGAGACTAAAAGCTTAACAAACTTTATATGCATATTTTAGCCAAGAAACAAGTTCAGGTTAAACATCTTAAGAAATATTGAAGTAAACTCATTGCCATTTTTTAAAAATTTTGCCTAAAACTTTTTAGTACTGATAAAAATGAGAACATAAAGGAAATTTTTAGTTTTAGCTATAAAATAAAAGTGAGGGCTGTCATAGATCTAGAAAATTAAAAATACAATTGAGCCATCTTGATTCTAAATCATGAAAGGAAGTAGAAATAATAGGATCACAGAGAACTTAAGAAATTTCAGAACTATTGTGAAAAAGGCTTGGAAACTTATTTTGACTTGGTTTGATTATTTTGCCCATCATGCAGTATTTGCCTTCCAAAGCCCCAGACCATGTCTTAGGGAAAAAGACATATTAAAGGAAGATTGATTGTACTTGTCCAAGATGAATATTAAAACCACCCAGAATAACAAACCTCATAGGAGGAGTTCTAATAATGATAAAGGAATATTCATTCCAGGGAGACCAATTTAAAAGTACTCTCAGAATGCCATCTCATCAGACAAAAAAATTCAAACAAATGAAATTAAGCTAAAAAGTGGATTTTAAGGAAGTTCATCTGTTATCTTTTAATGAGATTGCAGATGTCATCCTTTATCCACTTGTGTCAGATTCAGGAAACCAAGACTGTGTGTATCACCCAAGTATTCTAGTGGTAAAGGATCTAGCCTGCTTTCCTGACAAACCAGTACATCTCACCCCATGAAATTGCAATTGGATGTTCATGTGCTAATAAGATATTAGGCTGGTATAGCATATCTCATCTGGCAATAAGCCCATCCCCTAAAACTTCAGTGTATTTTTTTTTTATCATGAGGATAAAGATTTCAGGTAAATTTTCTTGGCCAATTAACTGCTGAAAAAATTATTACGTGAGTCCTTTAATGCATTTAATTCTCACATCACTCCCTAAAAGTAAATACTATCATCAAAGGCATGTGTGAAAAAAGGAAAGTCAGGTCAAGTGACTTGTCTAAAGTTCCATGCAAAGAAAGAGTTGTGGAGTATAGCGGCAGAATTGGACCCATGTTTAACTGAAGAAAATATGTTTTTAGGGCTGCGGGTATAGCTCAGTTGGTAGAGTACTTGCCTTGCATTCACAAGGCCCTGGGTTCTAATCCCCAGTACCACACACAAAAGAATGTTTTTAAATACTTTCTGGGGAATCCTCACTTCAATCTTCTTTCCTCTTTATCCTCCTGCTCAGTTTGAGCTTCCGGCATGACTATTTCATTTTTGAATCAAGTCAATGAAGTAGGGTTTCTGTGCAAAGCAGAAGGTTGGGGTAGACAAGAGTGTGGTTGAGGAAAGAACAAACACACATTATTAGATCAGACTCTCCTTTTCTAACATTTAGAAGCAAGAGAAGGAATTTTGACTAAAGGACAAAGCAGAGCTTTGTACTTTTCAAACTGGAATTCTATTTCCATTTTAGAAATTATGATACTGAACAACAGAGTGGAAGTTTTCACTGGGGTGTCCAGTTGTGGCCTAGATCCTTGGTGTCCTGAACAAAGAATTGACTAAGACACACAGGAGTGAGAGACAATGTACAGATTTATTGAAAGTGAAGGTGATAGTAGTTCTTCCCAAGGTAGAGTGGAGTGGTCCAAGCCAGAAAGAAAGGCTTAAGGCTCCAATGTCTGGAAATTAGTATCTTATAAACCAAACTGTGAGTTGTTCTCTTTCCTTAGAACAAGACTAAAGACCTTAGGCCATTTGTTCCCATTGATTACCTTAAGATACCCAATTAGAATATTGTCTAATTTTCCCCCATTGGTTACTTTAGAAACCTAATTAGAATATGGACATTTTACCCCCATTTGTCATTTTAAAATATGGCAGTGGTGGCAGCAGTTGTCAGGCTGATAAGTCCTCTGTGGCTGGAGTTGTC